CCACTTTCCCGCGTTCCACCACCTAAAGTCAAACACCCTAATAAGGACGCGCGTCAAGGACGCAAGACCCTTGGAAGCCGAAGCTGGGATTTTTGGGGCGGCGGACGACGAAAACCCCAAGGACGCAAGAGCAAGGACGAGCAAGGACGCAAGGGTACCCTGAGCAAAGTCGCGCGTCCTCATCAGGGTTTTTGAGTGTACCTCCGCCTCCTTCTGGCAGCCCCGAGGACGGCGCTCGGCCTCCGAGAGGTGCTCTCTCGGAGAGCCCCGCCTGATCCTTGGCGACGCCGCGGGGCCCCCCAGCCCCATCCAGCGGCCTGCCCCGAGCCATCCACCACCACTGCCACCACAACCCACAACCGCGCCGCTACGACTACTACTTTCTAATCCTCGCGATCGACCTCGCGAGAGGTACTATCATAGGCACAGATATAGCTAGAGCTCCGTCCGCCTCCCGATCTCGCCACTCTTGGCCAACTGGAGGGCCGCCCCCTCGATGGCCTCCACCAGGCAGTTGAAAGGTAACGCATCCGGGGACCCTGGCTCGAGCGTGACAAAGAAATGCCACAGGCGTCCAGCCTGCCCTTCAACTGCCCGCGCGCTCGCCGGCGCAGACCCCGCGAGACGACGTGGGGCTCTGAGAGAAGTGGTACACGTGAGGGGCTGCGCAACACGCGATGCAAACAAAAAGAAAAAACAACTGGGCTGACAGCCTCCGCAGCCAAAGCGCCTCGGGCGACACCTTCGGGAAGCGAGGGATAGATGGCGCCACCGCAGAAGCTCGCTTCTCTGCCAACCGACGTTGGCGACCTTAACACTGGCGAGACTCATGGCCATGGATGGCGTGAACATCGCGGAGCTCGATCTCAGCCTGTCGAGCGAAGCGAATGAATGCCTCCGTAAGCTCCTCCTTCTTGGGCGCCATCCCACAACGCTCAGACACTTGTGACTGCGCCACCGTCCATGATTCGAAATGCTCGCATGCACAACGGGAAATAGGACGCTCGACTGGAGGCGGTCTAGGAACAGGCACAATACACACCAACGGACGAGCCACGATAGCATTCAACAGAATACGCACCAGCACGCGAAACTGAGCACTGATCTGGACACCCACCAAGGCTTCAACCTCCCTCTCAGACAGCGCATTGGAAACCAGAAAGAAATCCAGAGCACGTCCACTCGACAAAGCAGCAACGCCAGACTCCCAGGCACCAGCACCAGAGACTGGAGCACGGACTTCCTCGGGCGTGACATGGAAGTCCCCGCCCACGATGTAGGGTAGCTGCAGACACCTGCGTTTCTCGGCCAACGCCAGCCCCTCCTGTGGGCAACGAAGACACGGCGGGCACCCCCCCCCGTGAAAGGGGTGTCTTGGGGGGGGGGTCCTTCGGGAGGTCCCGCCTGTGGCGTGGGAGGGCGGTCACGGGTCAGTCGGGGGCGGCAAAGAGGGGGGTGTCCAAGAGGGGGGGGTGCCAATCATGACTGGCGGCATGTGCGCGGCCCAGCGAGGGGGCCAGGGACGCAATGGAACAAGCAGAGGCGCCATGAAGTCTGGGGAAAAATCGTGGCCCGCGCCATGAGATCCACCCCCCCCTAGTCATCACCCCCCTCTTTTCCGCTCCCGAGTCAGAGTACCGCCCCCCCCACGGGGCCCCGCCGGTCTTCCAGGACGGGGGCGCCGGCGGGGGTCCCCGGGGGACGCACGCCTCCATTGTCGGCGGCACTGGCCGTGAGGCCTTCACAGCTAGCATTCACCTGACGGCGGCGACGCGCCGCGCTCAGGGCGGCGCAGGTGCCGCTCGCTCGCCGCGCCGCGCAAGGGGCGGCACAAGCGACGCTGGCCCAATGTTGACTTGCGCGCCGCGCAAAATTTGTCAACGCTGGGTTGCCCCAAAGGGTTGAACGGCGCACGCCAACAGAGAATCTGCAACGGCCTCTTCGATCGAGCGGTCACCCCGGTCCCGCGGAGACGGCCGGGACTGATGAGCTCCGAAGGCCTCTTGCGCCAGACGAACCATCTTGGATAGTGCGGCCTGCGCCGCCTGCAACTGCTGCGCCAGGCGATCGACTTCGGTCTGCGCCTGACGTAGTTCCTGAACTGAAGTCGAGCCAGACAGTCCCATCTTCTGGCGCCATCGCAAGCTTGACAACTTATTCCGAGAGCTCCCATCGAGGGCCTTGGCTGCTGCCTCGAACTGCTGATCAGACACCTCGAAGCAAGGCGTTTGCTGCTCAGCAGACAGAGGTTGGCCTCCAGAGGCTCCGTTGGGATGCTGCTTCTCCTTTATTGGTTTCATTGTCACGTATTATTAGTAGCACTAGTATTACAAGTATTATTATTAGTACTGGTATGCTTATTGATGGCGTTCTGATTAGCATTATTACCGACATCATTATTCGCATTCGTAGTAGTATTGGTATTCCTTCTATCATGCGTATCATGATTATTGTTTGGAGGTCGTATTATCATTATTAGTAGTAAAGGCGGATTCCCCTTCTTACCGCTGCTTCCTCCACTCGTAACCCCAAGCCGCTGCCCAGAACCCGGAGGCCCATGCACCTGCACGCCACGAGGAGGCCCTCGGGCCCAAGCGGGCGGGACAGTGCCTGACGGATGCTGACTGCTATATTTCCCGCACGTCTGCCGCGCGCTCCGATGCCGAAATTGCACCAACCGCGCGAAGCGCACTGCCAGCCGTTGCCAGCAGTCATGCACGACCCAGGGTGGGGTCGCGAGCCCCAGGCCAGCCGCTCGCGGAGGCGAGCTCCCGGCACGCCACACACTCTGGAACCGAGGTTGGGAAGTTCAGGAGCAGGCCGCTTGAGCCAAAATGGCTACGGACTGGTCCTCCTCCTCCTCCTCCTCCTACCCCTCCTCCTCCTCCTCCTCCTCCTCCTCCTCCTCCTCCTCCTCCTCCTCTTCTTCCTCCTCCTCCCCCTCGTCCTCCTCCTCGTCCTCCTCCTCCTCGTCCTTGATCCTGTCTCCCGCACGCTCGATCTCCCAGTCGCACCTCGCCTCCATGGCCGCGGCGGCCGCCAGGGCGTCGCCTGCGCAGCTGGCCAGCGCGGCGGTCAGGGTCGCCGCGGCTTGGGGGTCGCCCCTGGCGGCGGCCGCGCGGATCGCTCGATCCTCGATTCTTTCTCCTCCCTCTTCCTTCTCCTGGATCCTCCCTCCGCCTCCATTTCGTTTCCGTAAAAGGAATCCTCCCTGTCGCACCCCGAGGCCAGTCGGAAAGGCGACCCTGGCGTCTCGCTGGAGACGTTCTCACAATTTCGGATCATGATGCCTAGAAACGTGTAACAAGTTTGCGGATGGAAGGCTGGTGGTGTTCAAAATGTGGTTTTCGCCTTAATAAGATGCCCTCGGATTGAGGGCTGGAGGTTTCCAAAATGTGGTTCTCGCGTTAGCGCCGCGCAAACTGGTGTTCAACATGTGCCAGAGTTTCACAGATCGAAGGCGGGTGTTAAAAAAATGGTTCTCGCCTCAGCGCCGCGCACATTCGTGTTAAAACCATGTTTAACAAACGAGCTTCACTGATTGAGGGCGGCTCGTTCCCAACATTCGTTTCAAGTATTTGCAAGGGTTTCACGGACTCCCATGATTCACACATATTGAAAAATGCGTTTCGGAACGATTCTGAATTGTGAGGGCGCAACAGTTACGTTGATTCGCGGTGTTGTGAAGACCCAGGAGGGGTGTTCTGGCACGAGTATCGCCAAGACGCAATAGTCAGGTATAATCGTGGCGTTGGGGTCCCGAAAATGGTATGTTGGCACGCTTCAGAACATTCAAACGGTTGCCTCCCACCGGTGCACCTCCCTCAAAGGAAATTATTGGTTGCAGGGGTCTTTGAAGAGGGAGCTTGAAGGGAGGATGTACTCCAACATCGTTGATGAGTATTGGGTTTGCCGTGGTCCTCCCTCCTCCTCCTCCCCGCTCTCCCGCGAAATCCTAGCTCGGGATGGCGGCCTTGGGGGCCGTGTTTTCTGCCCTGGGGGGTCCGTCCCCGCGGAGGTGCTCCCCTCCGGTTACCAGCCTGAAGCACATCCCTATCCCCACGGCTGGCATCGCCTCATCTCTATGCCGATCCCAAGGATCCCCCCCGGTATCTGAGGGCGCCTCCCTAAGAGGTTTTCATCGCCTTTTGGCTTGTCAACCCTAGGGATAGGGATAAGCTCGAGGCTGGCTTTCCTGGGAGGGCTGTAGCCTGGGGGGGGCTCGCCTGTCGGGGGGGACCATCTGGCTTTTCGGCGACAAGTCCTGCTGCAGGCCGCACTGGGGGCATAGGATGATTCATCTGCCCAAGCACCATAGCCCATACATGTGCCTGCTGGATCCTCAATCCTCCTCCTCCTCCTCCTCCTCCTCCTCCTCCTCCTCCTCCTCCTCCTCCTCCTCCTCCTCCTCCTCCTTCTCTTCCTCAGTCGCTCGCCGGCTCATGGCATCGATGGCGTTGTCCTCCTCCTCCTCCTCCTCCTCCTCCTCCTCCTCGTCCTCCTCCTCCGCCCCCTCCCCCTGCTCCATTATCCATGCTCCTCCGCCTCCTCTCCTGGAGGCGAAGGGGAGGGGTAGATTCCATCCACGCCGCATCCCGAGGCCGGTCAAGAAGGCGGGTCAAGCATTTCGCCTGAGACTCCCTTGCCCTTTATAGTCCTGAAGCTGAAAAATTGGCAGCAGCTTCACAGGCGGAGGGCGGGCCGCTTCGAAAATGTGGCTCTCGCATTCGCGCCGCACATCCGTCTGAAGACGTATCAAAACATCACGGATAGAGGGCGGGTGGTTTTCAACATGTAACTTCAGCGCCCCTCAAACGGGGACTCCACTAACGGGTACTTTGGCCAATGACCCAGCGAGCCCAACCCTTCCCGATGTGGGCAACGCTGCAATGCAAGAAAAAGGCCCTAAAGTGGCAACTGTCGGCACAATTTCAAAGTACCCATTAGTAAGTACCCGTTACGGTGCCGTTGATAACTCTCGCCATAGCGCCGGGCACATC